CCATATCCCGTTGTAGATACTTAAAACTTTTGAATTTTCTTTACTAGTTAATTTGTAGTAGGAATGCAGGTAGATAGACTCACAAGTAATGCTCATAGCTCAATATTCTCTTCAATAGTGCTTTTTTAGTAGCTTGGATATTGTGTGGGTTTGGCTGTGGTAGAGTTAATTTTCTCCACAGTGGCTTGTATGGGACTGTGTTTTGGATTTGTGCTGAACAGAGGGTTGGTAATATAGTGATGCTTTTGTTATTGCTGAGCAGTGCTTACACAGAGCCAAGGCCTTTTCTGCTTTTCGTACTGCCACGCTGGCGAGGAAGTTGTGGGTGCATGGGAGGTTGAGAGGAGACACAGGCAGGACACGTGACTCAAACTGACCGAAAGGATATTCCATATCATATGACATCATGGTCAATATATAAAGTGGGGGAAAGAAAGATGAAGAGAGGGATATCTGGAGTGATGGCATTTATCTTCCCAAGTAACCGTTACACGTGATGGGACCCTGCTCTCCTGGAGATGCTTGAACACCTGCCTGCCCATGGGAAGCAGTGAATTAATTCCTTGTTTTGATTTGCTTGTATGTGTGGGGTTTGCTTTCCCTATTAAACTGTCTTTATCTCAACCCATGAGTTTTCCAGCTTTTACACTTCTGACTCTCTCCCCAGTCCCACTAGTGGAGAAAAGAGTGAGTGGCTGCATGGGGCTTGGTGGCTGGCTGGGGTTGAACCACAACAGACATTTCTTCGCAGTTCTTTTAGTTTCTGCCAATCCAGTCCAGATTTTTTGGAAGTGAAATCATTCTATCATTGGACTGAAATGAGCTTATGGTATATTGTTGGATACTCCTAAACCAATACTGACTTTTCTCTTGCTGTTTCTTCCTTTGACTTTCTAAAACAACCCCAATTTAATTTTACTTACTTGTGATGTCTTTATGAAGTATTTTGAGCTGATGTTACCACTAACTTCGTATAAACAACTTGGCATGAGTATGAAATCTAGTCTGTAACTATTCTCCATAGAAATTACACTCTTCTGAAATGAAAGGAATCCACACGAGAAAGCTGGAACCTTATTTCTACTCCAGTTGTTTTGATCCAGCAAACCAGTCAGTAAATATAGGTGAGAGGTGACTGGTCCCTGTGAGTTAAGGCAGAGATGTCTTTCCTCCCATCATCTCTGAGCTTTTAATAATTATGAATCATCCTCCAGCTGGTTATCAGCATTTCTGTCAACTGGACTGGAGCAGTCATAGCTCCCAAGTGTGCAGTGATGAAAAAGGTCTCAAGATCAGAGAATCAGTTGGTACTACTTCTACAAGGTCTTACTTATACAGGTTATCCTACTAAAAAGAGGGACTACGGGAGTTCTAGCATTTCTATGGCATTGTGGTCATGAGGGATCCAGAGCTGTCACAGCATTCATTTCCTTTTGTTGTGCCTCTGCCCTTTGCACAGCCATTCCTGCCCTGAGCTGCTCAGACAAAAATGTGGTTTGGACTGATTCTTCCCTCCCACCCCAACAGCCGAGTGCTGCAGCTGGATGGTTACAGATTATTAACTACACTCAGAGTTAACATGGGTATAGTTAATATACCAAGTGCCACTGCATGTAAAAGGAGCCAGAACAGGGCTCCTTTTATTGTCAAGTTCAAGCATTCAGAAATTGAAGCCTTTTCCCTACATCGTAAGGTGGATCATTATTTGTATTTCTCTTCTGTTGTGCTGAGTTTTCAGTGGCTAGGAACATTTTATTCTGAATGGAAGATGAAATTCTTGTGTAATCACATAATTCCTGCACCTGAGGCTTTAAGAAAAAACACTAACCACTGCAAGAGTTGGCAGCAGTAGGGGAAGAGGAAGAGGAGATGGAGGAGGAAATAATCTCATTCTCTCACTGCAGGAGCGGAATCCAACTCGGCTGCTGATGCCTGGTGATAGAGGGTGCATCCGAGAGGGAGAGGAAATGGAAGAACCAGAGGAGAAAAAAGGTAGCCCTTAGGAAGACATAAAGAGAAGGAAATACTTGGGATTAGCAGGGAAGGTCATTGGGCTGTGCAGCCTTTGGACATCTGGAGCTCCTGACCGCTGGGTTGCCTCACTAGTGAGTGTTTTTTGCACTCCGAAAGAGGAGGTGGGGAAGGGTGTCTTTCCTGCTCCAGTTCATCTGCGTCAGAGGGATAACACCTGACTTTGTCTACATCCAGCTCTGAACCATGATGGAAAAAAAAGTGTGGAGGCAAAAAATAATCCAAAATGTGGTAGAAGTGCCTCACAGTTGAAAGTAAAGGGAACTCAGAGCTGAAGATGCATTTTGTGCTCTGCTGCCTTTCTATCTTTGGAGTAAAAAATGGGAATTGCTACTCTAGTAATCTACAAATTGTGGGTATGGAGCCATACAATAATAAAACTGAGAGAAATGAGGCAGAAGGAAATTTTATGTTAGCTTTTTTACATTTTGCCTCTCCAGATGAAACTGGATCGCTGTTTTGTGTAGCACTATACTAAATATATATACATTGAGCTGTGGCATCAGTGTTCTGGTTCTGCATTAATATCACCTGTGGTAGCAGAAACACTGTATAAAGCATTCATCCATATTTTTTTCCCATTTTGTATAAAGTAACTACACAGTTCAGTTTTGTACTCTCCCGAACAGTGTGCCACTCTTTTTTTTTTTTTTTTCCAGTAGATTTGAGAGGATGGAGTTTATGTTTCTGTTTTCAAGTGTTGCTTCCTCCATGAGCAGGAAATCCTCCCTCCCTCCATACGTTTTTAAAATAGTTGACAGTGCCCCGAGTTAATTGCATATCAGACTGAAGTTCTTTTTCCTGTCCTACGTGCCTGTCCTCTTCTCTTACATAGTCCATCTGTTTTCTAACTCCCAGTAAGAATATTAAAAACATCCCCTACCTACACAAAACAAAAACTCTTCTGAGAAGATGAATGTAGAGGAGGTGGCAGTAACTGCTGTGCCAGTTAGATCACTCATATATCACTGGGATATCTTCCGATATTACCATCAGGAGATATCTAAGCATATAGATATAATACATAGTAACACCTCCAAACTAGTCAAATCCTTTTCCTAGTTTATATGCCTTACAAATATGTGTTTTAAAAAATCTACCTTCCCAAAGAATATAGCTTTCTGGATTGTTCCTCTGTGTAAATTGCTACAACCTTTGTCCTCCCCACTATCCCTTCCTCCTTTCTTTGCCTGTTAATGATTCACATTTATTGTGCCATGATCAAGCTCTGCCTAAATTTCTCTTCCTATCTATCTACAGCTTTTTCTGGTCTGGATTTGTTTTTGGTTTTGGTTTTGGGGTGTAGATATTTGTTTTGTTTGTTTATTTTTTTGGTTTTGTTTGGGGTTGCGGAGTTTGTTTGTTTGTTCTTAATACAATCTGATGACTCCTCCTCTACTTGTATTCTGAAATAGGAGCTCAAACAGGTAAGTCACCGATGAGGGATGTGATACTGAACACACCCAAAAAACCCAGCAGTGTAAACCGCTCCATTTTTAATCCTCAGTATAGTGTTTGTTGAAAACCTATGGAAGAGGTCTTCTGACTTCCTAATCAATGTGCCCGCTTTTACTGATTTCATCCATAACCTACTAGTGTTGTTATCACGAAAGAAGAGGCACTGTAATGAGACTGCATATATTTGTCAGTTCAGTTCCTCCTCGTTTAAAATTATTTGCTAAAAAGAAGGTGCTAGCAGATGAAAAGAGTAAACAAACTCAATTCTTTCTCTTCTGGTACCTCAGCCTCATTTTTTTCTAAAGAGATGTCAGGTGTGTATCCACTGCTTTTGTAAAACCTCTCTGCTATAAAACTAAACAAACCCAAATTTCCTTTGAAAAAAAAATATCCAAACTGTACTAACATACCTTCTAAAAAGAAAATAAATGTTCCCTGAGAGGAAAAAGTTCTTTCCAGAACAAGTATATCTTTTGGTGGGTCTCAGTGAACTGCCTAACTACATATTTTAGTGTCTGAAAAGAATTGTGACTACTGGAATGAGCTTTTAAAAAAACAGCCCTGTGTGTTTTGGTAACATTGACGCAGCAGAGCCATGCTGGGAGATCAGGGTTCCTCCTCAGCTACACCATGGAACAGTTTTATGATCTTTAACTGAGACACCTCATCTCCAAATGGCTCTTTTCCACTTGCAGCTGAGCAGCACTTCCTTGCAAGGGTGTTAAGAAAGAACTAAATGCTTTGGGGTGAGCTGAAGATGCTCCAGAGCTTCAGTTAAACTCTGTGTGAATTATAAAGGTCAGGTAAATCCTTCTGTTCATGTATTTACATAGAAGACTCTTGAAGGCCTGAAATTGCTGGAAGAGTGAGGGTGCCAGCTATGAAGCACGATTAGTCTGCTGTGGTGAGCATTATGAGCAGCTTATCAATGCCCAAGGGACCAGGGTGAGCTGTCAGGCTGTTGTTAACTCGGTGAAGGAGGTTTCTGGATGGCCATTAAGCCCTGGTTTTTTTTCTCACCTGCTCAAAGCCGTAGTGACACAGGATGGGTCTCTGGTTTGTGGAAGCCATGATAGAAGCACAGACCCCAGATGCCCTATGAAGACACGTGTGGGTAACCGCCTGCCTGGGATCCTGAGAGGATGCCGGCGGTGTCCCTGCCCCGCCTTCTGTCAGGAACTACCCAAAGACCTGGCCGCTCCTGCAGCAGCCTCGGTGCCGGCCGGGTCGGGCGGTCCGCGGGGGACACAGGAGCCCCTCGGGGGACACAGGAGCCCCTCGGGGGACACAGGAGCCCCGCGGGGGACACAGGAGCCCCGCGGGGGACACAAGAGCCCCGCGGGGGACACGCACCCGCCTCGCGCTGCTGCGGCTCCCCGCTCCCATCGCGCCCCGGCGGCCGCGGAGGGGCGGGCGGCGGCGGGTCCCGCCCTCGGTGCGGTGACGCTGTCGCTGGTCCCGCCTCGCCCTCCCGCCCTTTAAAACCGCTGCCGGCGCCGTCTCCTTCTCCTTGCCCTGTCTCGCCGTTCATCCGCCGCTCGCCGGCTGTGCTCCCGCCTCCGCCCGCCGCTGCCGCAGCCCCCAGCCCGCTCTCCGGCTCTGTCTCTCTCCGCTTGTGCCCTCTGGTCCCAGCGCTGCGCTGCGCTTTCCCCGCCGGCCGCCCCCGCAGCCTATGGCCCTGGAAGGCGCCGCTGCCGCCGCCTGTATTTCTGCTGTAGGTTCCCACATCCCTCTTTAAAAATTCCGCCTAAAAAGAGAAGACGATTTACCAAATCTTTCGGGCCGTTATCTCACGTGAGTACCGGAGCGGGGGTCCCGGGGCTCTCACCACCCGCGGGGAAGGTGGCGGGAGGGAGGGGGCGACGGCGACGCCCACCCTTAGCTCCGGAGCGGGCCAGGTCGCCCCTGGACACCGGCGACTGGGGGGAGCGACAGGGGCTTTCCGCTGCCCACGACCTGGGGCTTCGGGCAGTGCAGGGAGGGAAGGGGAGCAGTGGCCGTGGCGCCCGGGGAGGGCGGAGGGGTGCCCGGCGGCAGCACCGCCGCCTTTGCGGTGCTTGGCGGGGAGGGTTGGGGATGGGGCCGGTTCCTCCAGCTGCCCTTTCTCCGCCCGGCGGCGTGTGGCGAGACCGGCTGCGACCGGCGGCAGCAGATGGAGAGCGGCAGGATGAGTCAGAGCCGGAGCTCCCCCTGTCCCCCGGAGCGCGGGCCGGTGCGGGGCCGCAGTGCGGGGGCCGAGCGGGCGGACAGCGGGACCCCCGTGCCCCAGAGGGTGTCGTGGGCGGCGGGCGGAGGGTCAGCGGCCGCCGCGCTAACATGGCGGACAGCGCTGCGTGCGAGCGGCGCCGGGGCAGCGGCGGGGCCGGGCACCGGGGCGAGCGTGGCGGCGGCGCCGCCGGCCCCTTTCTCCCGCAGCCCCCGGGACAGGGGAGGGCGGCGGGGCCGCCGGCTCCGCGGGCAGCGGGGACTCGGCGGCCGCCCTAACATGGCGGATTCCTGCGGAGGGGGGCTGCGCGGTGTCTTCCCCCTCACAGCCGGGGCAGTACCCGCGGCGGGAGACCCGCGCCCGCCGGGCGCAGCTGCCGCTCCTGGGGCGCCTCTGCCTGGGACAGGGGTTGAGCGGCGTCCTCGCCTGGACCACTCAGGGAGGGGGCTGCCCGGTCCCCGTGCCCTGTGGCAGCTGCTTGGGCTGGAGAGCGCAGGCTGTGGCGGGGGTGCCGGCGGGTCCCTTCCCCGCGGGTGACCCGCACGCTGGAAGCTCCCCCGGGTTCGGGGAGGGAGGCCGTGTGTGTGACGGGCTTCGGCGCTGGGGAGGGTGACGAGAGCATAGGCTGGAAAGGTGCTGGTGGCATGGCCGCGGTGTCTCCTCGCCTGCTTCTCAGGGGCCATGTTGTGCTTCTGTGAGCGAGATTATCCATCCGGGCTCCCGCTGCCGTCCTCCGCTTTCCCCCTCACCTGAGCTGAGCCTGCACGAGGCCTCACCTGTCCCCCTCGGCACTGGGGGACAAGGTGGCACGCCAAGGACCACGGTGGCAGCCAAGGAGCTGTCAGGGCACCGCACAAGTTGTAAGGGCATTGCACAAGTGACGCTTTCCGGGACAGGCGCTGGGATGACGGGACAAGTCGCCTTCACGCAGAGAGGCTGTGGGGTCCCCCGGCGTGTGAAAGTGGAGCCCTTCCCTCCCTTTAGCAGTGTCCTGCGTTTGCCGGGGGTGTTGGCTGGTCATCTCAAGGGCTTTCACCCTCCCCTTGGTCAGTCTGTTAGTGTAGCAGTAGCAGGTTTGGTGCTGCCAGGCCTGGACGTCTCTTAGTTGAGAGTCAACCTCCTTGGCTGCCTCTGCCAGCGCTTTGTGGTCCAGTTGACCACTGTAGTGACTTTTGGAAAGTATGGAGAAGAGAGTCCAGTTATTGCTCAGCTGCTGGCTCTATGTGTGTTTAGAGAGTGTGCATGAGATTATAGGGGTATTTTGAGTGTGTATGTGTGCTTGCTGCAGTGCTGTTCCCTGCTTGGTGAGAGCTCAGAAGAGGTGTCCATAACTGGTTATAGTGGTGACAGATTAGCAGATGTGTATGTTCTTGGTGGTAGGAGACCTGAAAGCACAATGAGAGAGTGGGGGACTCACTCATGTGTAAGCGGGATGGTGCAAGTGCAGGATCATAGGGCAGCTGGCATGGCTGAGGAGAATGCTCTGTACTAAACAGCACTGCAGGTCTTTTCCAGTCATCTGTCTGGGCTTATTACAAGTCTAAGAAGATGTATATTTGTGCTGGGGGGAACCTGGTTGTGGTGAAGAGGAAAGAAAGCAAGCTTGAATCATCTTTCAAACCTTTCTGAAGTGCATCTCCTGCAGTGCAAAATCCTGCACAGCTGACATGTGCCCGTAGGCAGAAGTACTGTGTTTCAGACCTCTGCAGCTGTCTCTGGTGACTGAGCAGGATTTGATTGTGTAGTCCCAGTCGGTTATAGCCACCCTAAATGAAAACACCATGTGACGTCTAATAAAGCGAGGTAGACCTGCCTACCCACCTAGTCAGATGTGTGGCTCTGTGTCTTGCATGGCAGTGGGTTGGAGGGGAGACCTGTCCCACTTCTTCTGCCCTCCCTGGCTGCTCGATTTTTGTCTTGGAGGATACTGCACTTGCCCACTGTTCTTCCCTGGATAAATGTGGGAGGCAGTGGAGCTGGGGAAGAGGTGGGGGTTGTGAATAATGGTGATGGTAGGAGGGGTTTGTTCCAGTCTGGACTGGTCCAGTCTAGTTCTTTCCTTCCTGTCACCGTGTGAACAATGCTGCTGCTGCTGTGGCTGATGCTTGTGACAAGGCAGCCCCCTCCCCGTGTGCCTCAGGCTGTGGTGAGCTCCCTTCCCTGCCTGCTGTGGGCTGAGACCCCCCTGCAGCCAGCCTGCTGCTCCCCATCCCTCCCGCTGGGCTTTCAGCTCCAGGGGAAGATTGTGAAACAGAAAAAGGGGGGAGTGGGGGAGCTCTTGAAGGAGAAGGGTGTTGTTTGGTGGTGAACAGCAGTGGGGATGTTTCTCCTTTGGGGACAGTTTTACTGGAGGCAAGAGGCGGGCTTGCTGCCTTTCAGCACTGCAGCCTGCCCCCGGGCCAGCAGCCTGTGCCTCTCGCTGCTCCCTGTGCTGGAGGGCTGCGGCAGGTGTGTCATTGCAGCGGTGATGGGCTGTATGCTCTGGAAATGATTCCAGCTCTCCAATTAAAGGAGAGACAGAGTGCTCTGGAAGAGAACTAAGCCTGTCCCTTCCTGAGAGTGAGGCTTAATTGTGTAATGCACTAATTTTGGTATAATGGTAAATTTCAGTTCTAAATAATGTAGTTGCAGGAGCAAGAGTGTGGTTGATGAGAATTCCTCAGGGGCCTGTTCTTCCTTCAGGACCTGCTCCCCCCTGGGGATTGCCTAGCCACAGTGTCCTGTCCCTGATCTGGAAAAGGCTTCCTGTAACTCAAAAATACCTGGTTTGGTTTTTTTTGTGGACCAGAGTAACTTTTACCTCCAAGTCTGTCACTTGGTGTGAATGTGCAAGGTCATCATAATTCTAGATTTTTAGGGTCTGGTTCATGGATATTTTAGCTCAGGCCAATAAAGGGTCTCTTTTCAGAAACCAATGCAGTAAATCTTTTTTTTTTTTTTTTGAAGACGATGAATTGATGCTTGGTTTTGTAGGCCGGTCAGCATCAGATAAGGGGAGCTGAGTGGGCCTGTGAGCTGGAAAAGCCTGGCCTTAGCTGGCCTCCTGGATACTCAGAGCTTGCTGTGGGGATGCCGTTGTTCTCTCAAAACTATGCACTGTGGACAACTGGGGGGTGATGTGTTGGGGGTTTTTTCCCCTTAGATGAGTTACTACTATTGTTGTTGCTTGAGGTGTAGTCAAACCTGAGGTGCTTGCTAGTATACTAACAGATGATAGATGAATACATGCATGTGGGTGTCACTTGAGTACAAAAAGGCAGAGCTGCCTTGCTGATTATTCCTACAACTCAAAGCTCACTGCTTAGCAAAGAATGCTTTTATACCTACTTTAAGACCCTTAAGCAATGGATACTTCATTGTTGCTGATGACACGTGCAGTTCTTGTAAATTGGGGTTTGTCCTTACAGGTTGTGGACGTCTAATACACTTCTGGTACTTAAAATGGTAGCCCTGCTCTGCCACAGTACAGCAAAAGCAGACTGAAATGACTGTGACTGGAAAGGCTCATATTGTATTATTTTTCTCTGAAAGTTTAGAATTGGCAAACCTGCACAGAACAGTCAGACTGTTTTGTATATGTTTGTGTAGATCCTTTAGATAAATAACTGTCATTTAAAAGAAATTCTGAAGGACAGTTAGAACTCAGCACAGCTCATAGTTGTCTGTTGCTACAAAAAATGGTCAGTGTTCTTTCCAGCTCCATAGGAGCTTTCACTGCACACTTTTCTCCTTGGGACATGAGAGAATATTTATTGGAATAATACTGCAGGTGATATTTGGCTAAAGCATGGCTTTTTAAGTTTTGCACTGAAGGTCATGTGCTCTCCCTAGAAGCACCTGTGTTTAATGATTTGTTTGGCTTGGAAGGTAAACTTAATTCACAGTCGTTGGAAAATTTATATAACTTGTGTATAATCGGAATAGCACTGGAAATACTGGAGCTATTTAGGTAATTTTAAAAGCTGGCAACACTTTCCTTTTGTAAAACTGTTGTGAGCATACTCTGAGAACTAAATGTAGTAACATTTAGTAACTCTTGCTTCAGTGGAATAAAAGGCATATACATTAATTCTAGCCGGCAAAATTTCTTAATATCTCAATTAATTTTGAAGCATTGAGGTTTATTTTTAATGCTGTGCGCTACCAAATGCTAATTTATGTGGTAAAGCTGAACGGACTGCTCTGTGGAGTTGCTGTGAAACAGTTACACTCAAGTTGCATTAATTCTGCTTGTTATTCAGTGCTTTATAGAGTGTGCTAGTTTAGTTTTCCAATAGCAAGAATAAGTGGAAAAGTACAGTTCAGCAGTTTGCTTAACTAATGTGGTTGAGAAGATGATCATTTGGGTTAGGTGATTTCCAGAAGTCAGGTTTTTGTAGTCAGTCCATGTAGTATTTAAATAATGAGATGAGCAAAGGTTTAGTTTTACAGTAGGTTGGTACATTCCAGGTTTCATGCCATATACCACAGTGAATTTGTAGAAACTTTGTTGTACGTTGGGTTTACACGTGACCAGTTTGGTAGTGTATTTAGTTCCATGAAAATTATCTTTCCATTTAGGAGGAATAACTTCTCAACAGGGTTAATAAATGTTTCCTTTTTATGTTCATATTTGTGTGATTGCTTTACCTGAATTTAAATGAGCTAGCCTTGTACTTTAAAATGCTGCTTTGGTGTTGTGTGTAATAGCCTTTAAGGGCCAGCTGAAATGTTTCCTCATTCCTGAAGGCAAGCATAAGTTTCTTTCTTTTAATGACCTTGCTCATTTCTGGATTTGTCTGGTGTGGTGTTCAGTTTCACTATATAAAGCACTATTTTTCCCCCACAAGCAGCTTTTTCACCCACATGCTGTGTTCATTCACAGCAGAGGGAGAAAGAATGTGGCAAGGGAATTCTGAAATAGAAATGAAGTGGGGAGAGGAAGTATGCAGTGGTTACAGGGTTAAAAACACTTCTGCGAGGGTAGTCCAGTATTAAGATGTACTGCCCTATAGCAAGATGTCTTTGCCATTAGTTTTGAAAATCTTCCAGTTGAAACTATAAAAGATTACTACAAACAAGCAGTTTCATGTGTTTTAGTGGGTCTTGGTATATCTGACTTGTTGTGGCTCAGAGCTTACATTTACTCTTGAACACCGGCTGCTTGATGTGATTATAAACTTTCATGGTGGGGTGTTGCAAGCCTTCTTAAAAGCACCACTGATGAGGCATTTGTTAAATGTTTTAAGATAAAGCTTTTATTCTGTTCTGGCTATGAAATTTATTTTTGTGTGCATTTTTTTTTCCTACAGGGCAAAATCTCTGATCAAGTTTACAACTATCCAGAGGGCTTAGGAGAAGTGCTTTATAGAGAACAGTTCGACTTCAACGCTGAGCCACCTTGGGAACCTAGCTGATGATAGTAGGGTTCCATCTCCTAACTTGTCCATGTAAGTCTCTCTTTGTCTGTACTCAGGGAGGATAAGCACTTCCAAAAATACAACTTGTATTGGCTTTGTGGTAAGCAAGATAACTGTGTGGATGTAGATTATCAAAATTACATGGGGCTTTCATTTGGTGGGGGACTATACATTTTATTAATCTATCACTTTTCTCAATATAATTATCTGATAAAATTCTGAGAGACTGAACCATGTGTGAGTAAACTAGGTAAATAGTTACTTTTCTGAATTAGAGGTGTTGGCTGCAGAAATACTAAAATAAAGTGCTATAAATTAAGTCTCTCAGTGGTAATTCTGAAGTCATAAATTAGACTGCATGACTGTTAACATCAAATTATGACTTGCTGAAGACTATATGATTTCTTAGGGTAGTTTATACTGAAATAGTTAAAATTTGCTCTTGTAAACAGTAACTAGTGCTGATCATAAAGGGTGTGCCTTCCCAAGTGCTTATCTCTGTTATTTGCTAATTAGCATCCACTTCCACAAATAATTCTAGTTGAGCTACAGTAGAATGTGTAATTTAGTGTTGGATAGAAATTGTGTACCAATTACAAATGCCTTTATATTTTGAAGTGGCATATAGTTATAGAAGAACCAGACCATGATAACTGAAAACAAATGAGTGCACTTAGCTGATCTTAAGGAGCGCAGAAAACTTTGGAATATGTGTGGTTATCATGTTCTGTTAAGTTAAAATAGCTTTACATAGGTTTTAACTATAGTCTTAAATGCATTTGTAATATCTGCATTTAGCTGACTTTACAGTATTTCTACAGTATTACTTTTTTCCTGTCTAGCTGAAGGCGTTTTCATTTGGCTTAGTACCCATAAATTATATAATGCTTTTTAATGTAGAATTCGAGGATGGTTAAGTACATCTTACTGGGCCAGGTACTTTTTTACAGACCACAAGGATTCCAAATGCCAGTTGTGTTAGTATGTCTCCTAATAAAGTACTTAATGTAGATAAACTTGCTCTTTGAAAAAAACACAATAGCAGAGGCACAGGATGAGCTTGGTTTATTGTAACTTTTGGCTTTATCTCCAGAGGGTATGTTCCTTTTGTTTTGTTTTTTTTTGAATTAATTTCATATATCTGGTTGGTTTTAGTCAAATACTCTATTCAAGTGGATTCAGTTAACACTGAAAGTTTTCTGAATATCATTGTTAATTTTTAGGGGTGATTTTTATAAGCAAAATATTGAGAAAATTGTTTCTCCTGTTCAGCTTCTGAGTTTTGGCTCACTCTTGTATGTGGGTAGAACTCTTGCATGACATTTTGTACTTCAACAGGAATAAAGTAAAGTAGTTAGATAGGAAAGGCAGAAGAACTGTTAGGAGTGAATAAAGTTGAAAATCTTAATGTACTGTAAATGCATTTTAATTTATAAATCTATTCTGGAGGGAATTTTGGCTGTGACAAGTTTTTACTCTTGGAGGAAAAGCTATTCTGATACTTTCTTTGAGATATTCCTTCTCTAACTGGTAGTCACTTGCTGTAGCAAGTAGTGCAAGGTATAGCCTGTCCTAGAACAGAAATGCCACCGGATTTGGTGTATTTGCAGCTGAATGTTCAGGTGATGTGTCTTAATTTTAAACTTGGATCTATTATGTGTTCAGTAATAATGTACTGTACACAAATATAAGTAGATCAGTATTGAGGGTAGTGGTGATGTCGGTAGCAGTAGTGTTTGCCAGGGAATCTGTGCCTCTTTTGGTGTGCTAAAACACAGGTAATTGCCTCAAATACAGCTAAGATGCAAGTTAGCCATCTGATTGGTACTTTTGAGTCTTGCTTAAATTGCAAGGTGATTTAATGGGAAACAGCTCAATTGAGCTTTTAAATATAACTGTAATGTTATGTTCTGATGGAACTCAAATAAAAATCTTCTATCTGTAGGTGTACTTACATTCCCATTAATCTTGCTTCCTTTTTATAATTTTCTCTATCCCACTCTTGTATTACACTGGCTAAGGAAGAACTTGGGGTTTAGTTCTGTCTTGCTTTCATGCCCTGAGCAGTCTAGCAACTCTGGTCTGAAGTCTTGCTCCTTTAAAAATCTGTTTTATATATTTCCACATCTGGTTTATCGGAAATGATGGGAATTAGCAATGGAAATCTGATCTATTAGCAAGCTGCGTCTGTGCCAAGTGGAAGCAGTAGCTATCTGGACTGGCTAACCTTTAGAGCTCTCCTGACTTTGTTTAAATGGGACTGGGTTGTACTTGGGGAGCAGGAGAGCTGGGAGTTTGGAGTGTTGGGGTGCAGTGGGGAGGCCAAATACTAACACTGACTAAGCAAGTAAGAAGAAAGGATAGAGAAGTGACTGTTGTGAAAGAGAAGTGGTGGTCTGGTACACCATAGAAATGTATGTGCCCTTACAAGAATACAAATTTTTTATAAGCTTTGTGAGCTTATTGGCTCTGAATTAATGTATTCAAACTTCAAGAACACGGAAGGTTCCTGAAAGTGTGGTTCATATAGAAGATATAGGATGGGGCATTATTTTTTGCTATCTACCCCCTTTGCTTGCTTACTTCAGCATAATTGCTCAGGTTACATTGCTCACTTAACTGTGTGGAATGCTCCTGAGAGGATGGGAGGATGCAACTAACCTAAGCTGTACAGGTACTCCATGACCCCCAGTGGATTTCTACTGAGAGGTAACTTGAGTAATGCAGAAAGACACCTGTTTCAGCATGTCCATCAGTTGGTCTCAGTGGCTGCATTCAGCTAACTGACGTTTAGGGGTGCAAGTTGGTGAAATGGCATCTTGGAATATTTTTTGAAAAAGATGCTCCCATTATAAATAGGCATTTTCTGCACTGAAAACATGGAACTCGTGTTTCTACTGTTCTGGTTTACCTGTTCTGTGCATTATTGCCAGTGTCAGTGACAAAGTATTTCTGCTTTGATCTGTTACCCCTGAAGAACTGGTATTGTAATGAATGTGAGATTAATGTATTTTTACCTCTTTACGATTCTTACATCATCATAATTGTTAATCTCGTAAATATTTACTTTGTTTAATAAGACATGGAGTTAAAAGGCATTACTGGGAGCCTGTTTGGTATGCAGAGACTTTATTGCTTGCAGAGGAAATTTTTAATGAAAGAAACAAACTTAAGGGTGTTTGGGGGGGTTTGTTTTTTTAGGCCAAAGAGTATGTGGTTCTGACAATGTAAAGGAAAAAAAAAGAATTTTGTGTTATGGATGCTTGCATATGACAAGCATGTGTTTAGTCTTTTTCAGAGCTTTTTCATTTTGTTTTATTCCAGATGTCTGCATTAATTGCAGTGTTTAAATATGTACACTTTTATCTTAAGAGTTCTTCATCTGGGAAGTCATTGTGTTAAACCATAAAGAGCCTGAGGATGTAACGCTTACTTCAAAGGAAGCAATTACATGCCTGTGTAGAAGTCTCATACCACTTGACAGCTTTTGTTTGCCTTAAAATATATGTCCTGGAGCACTGTGCAGACTAACATTTCAGGTGCGAAAATGGGTGGTGTTACCACACCAAGTCTGTCAAATAATGACTTGCAGCGAGTCAGCACTTCCAGCAAGGAGTGAACTCTGTACTGTCATGATTTCTGACTCATCTTAGAGATATAAAAAAAAGTCCTAAACCACCCTTTAGATTTCCTTCTGCAAATTTTACCACTGATTCTTCTCGTTCAAGAGGGATACCACTCAACAGAATAAGAGACAGCACAGTCCCAAATTGTGCTGTAAGGTATAAACCCCTTAAAAAAACATTGCTCAAATATCCACTCTTTTGTAGAGGTGTTGTAGCAGTGCTCCTAGGAATCTGGTTTTTCTTTGTGCAGTAATCTTTGTACAATATTCTTTCTAGCTTATTCTCAACAAGACAATGTAATTTCTTCCGGAAAGGGGAAATGGGATAGTAGTTGCTAGCCAAATGTTAGCTTTTTTACTCTGTTAATTTTGCTAAATGGAAAAGCTTCTGTGTCTTGGATGTGCTTAGAAAAAGCAATTGCTGTTTAGCAGCTTGGGAGAGGTTATGCCAGGTTGTTAATGGTTAGTTGTAAGGTATTTCATTAAATTTCTCCTAGAATATATTCCTTTTGGTCCCTGCCTCTTGACTCTAAGATGCTTTTGGATGAGTGAACAGGAGACAGGTCTGGTTTAGGAAGTAATCTTCATCCAAACTAACTAGATAAGTGTTCTTTTTGTTGTTATATTTGATGAGTTAGTGGTAAAAAGCCTCCTTTTCCCCTGCTTTAGTTAAACCAGTTCTCCCCCTCCTCCCCACACAGTCTACCCAAAAGTAAAAGGGCAGATTTTGGAGGAAAATATTCTTCTACACCATTTCTGCCTGAAAGCTGCAGACACCACAGTTATTACCTATGACAAAAAGCTTTCTTCTAAGAATAGTACACAACTATCTTAAATCTATTCCACTGTAAGAACACCCAGAGGAAAAGCGTGCAGTTGTTTAGGTTGAGCTGCTCGGTTTGAAATACAAGGTACTAGCAATTAGCCTGCTGGGTGGATGGGTGGCTGGTGAGAAAATCTGTTCAGTGCTATGATTGGTTCCATTGGGTGTTCTGAGACCTTCCAGTAGGATAGATCAAGGTGGAAGGGACTCTTGACTGTCTGTTCACTTTAGAATGCAGGGAGTGGCTTATAGCATTAAAAAAAAAAATTAACTCAGTAGTACCCTTGTATATACAGCAATTCCTTAAAATACTTTAGTTTTGCTTGCAGACCTTTTGACAGGTTTATACAATGCATCAGGGAATTGAGAGCTTATTAATAAGAGATCAGAAACACAGAAATTGTCCAACTTGAATAAACAATGGAAAGCTCAGATGTGAGGCTTCTCCCAGCCCAGTGGCTTCTAACATGCAAACAGTTACAGGTACTTACAGTAGGTATTGGTCAGGTGTGAGTGGGGAGAGGAAAGAAGGGGAGTCATAGAAGGTTATACTGAACAGTTTCTGTGTCAAAATGTTGCCACAGAGTTTTCTTGAATTTCTTCTGAAGTCATAGGACATATTAGATGTCATGAAAGATCCTGTAGATTTAGATGCAGCACAAAACATATTTGAAAATTTTTCTTTAGCACCATTCTGTGCCATGAAAAGTTTAAATAACTTGAGGGTTTTGAATGTTTAGCAGATCCACTACTTTTGAATAATCTACTGAAAATAGAAATCACTTCACTCTTGCATGTGTCCACCATGGTTGTGCTTATTCCTCTCCTTGGTAGTACAGTTTTTGCAAGAATACAGTAAAAGAATTGTTATTGTAGAGGGAAAGTTTAATGTGTTTACGCAACCAGCAAGTTCCTAAGGATGCATAAAGTACTTTAAAATGTCATTAAGCATTAGACTGTTTAGGTCATAGTATAAAAAAATGTTAACATAATTAAACTCTGCTGTTAGGCTTTTTTTTTTCTTTGTATCTTTATGGTTTGAATATTCTAGAGCTCTACCAAATTATCAGTAAAAAGCTGATGCCAGCCTTTCTTTCCTGGGGAAAAAAAATTATCTAAACCTATCTAAACCTACTTCTGAAAATCATGGATATTTTATGAACATGTTTGTTTCACTGATTCGAAGTGAAATTTAGTCCACAAGCTTGTCTTTTGTTTGGTGGTCCATTTTTAAGGAGTTTTAGCTGTTACTCTCACACTGAGATGAGACTGGCTAATGAATTTTTTCTTGTTATTATAGTGTCTGCCACCTAGTCATTGTTTTTGTAACTATAATGAAATCCTTACATCAGTGTGATAATATCTTGCTCTTCTGTGATTGTTTTGGATCTCCAGGATTCACTTAAATAAGCTTATGACTCATTATACCTGTGAGATGAGTATTTCTTACCCAGCATACTTGTCTTTATCCATCAGCTTCTGAGTAGAACTGAAGATTCTTGCTGCCACCAAGTTCAATTCACCTGGCAGTAAATTCCTCTCTTAGGAAACATAGGGGGCATGTTTGAGTTGTGCAGAAAGTATATAAAACCCTGCTGGCTCCTCTCCCATTATTTGGTGTAATGAAAAGCAGGAGCAACTGCTGCTTAGTTATCTTAGTACTAGCTTGAGCAAAAGTAACTTTGTTCATATTGTTGACAAAATTAACCAAACTTAATGTTACAAATTGTGGATTTTTTTAACTGTCTGGAGGTGGTGGATGAAACATGAGACAGAATTAATACCGTGGCCTTGTGACCATTTGGAGCCAAAATTTTCTTCTTAACTAATGAAGCGCTTTTGACTTTCAGCCTTAATATTTCTGGTTTCTATCAACACTTCTAATTAGAAAAATAATTCTGCTATTTTAAAGCCAAGAGCATGTGACTTATCCTTATTCCTGGCAAATGGAGGGTGAACAGAGTAAAAAAATATTTGGTTTTTTGTAGAGGGGGTGTGTGTTCCTGTTTGTAGGACATCAGATGTAGAAAGATCTAATTTCTAAATAGTGGCATAGTATGCTTTGTGCCTGTTTTTCCACTGACTTTTGTTTTCTTTGTACAGTTTGTTGCATAATTTAAGGACCCGGATATAAGGCTTGGAAGCCCATCCCTTGTGTTTCTTGGTTTATGACTGTCGGCTTTGTGGAATACGGCTGAGATGAAAGGATTTCTTGAGGATGCAAATTACTCCATTGGTCTGTTGGATGAAGGAGCAACTCTTGCAGATGTTATTGACAACTGTATTTATGAACATACTCATGTAAGTTGGCTTTCCAAATCTTCTGGTTTAGTTCCTTAAGTCTTCAAAGTAGGTCAAGGTGTTTAGGACTGGTGAACTGACAGCAACAGAGGAACAGTCAGCTAAGCCTCACTCACTTTATAAAGTAGTTTGCTCTTCTAATTCTGCTTCTTTGCTGTTTGCTTGGGCAGAATTCTGTTTGGGAAATTTGGGCAACAACTCCCTGCGTATGGCTAGCAGGAAAGTAGTCTTGCTGATGTAATTAAATACGGGTTCCCATCTCTTTGTTTCAAGAGCTTTTGTTAGCAATGGATTTTAGACCAGGAACCTGAAATTGGGCAAGTGGATATACTGAGTTAGAACCATTTTAGTCGTTGTTGTTCTTTTCCTGAAAATATGGCAAAGTTTAGACAAATACGTATGCTGAGCCAGTTTAAAGCCACGTTTAAAAGTTCTGTGGGCCATCGTGGTTTATAGTTACCCTTCTCCCCACTGGAAACTTAGGTGTGAGCACGCTGTGAGGTGCTACCTTTCAAGTCACACTAGTCTAAAAGCAACCAACTGGAAAGAAACTTGAATAATTCTGTGAATGCAATAGTGATTCTATGGAATAAGGCTTCACTCATTTCGTAGGAGGCAGGAAGATGTAGCCTTTGTTTTGTAGATGAGGCTGTAGAAAGAGCAAATTTTAAAAAGAGGTTTCATTAAGCAAATACTGTATCCTTGGTATGCCATACGTAGAGTTGTTCACTTTTCCCTTGGTTTATCAGAAATAATGTTCAAGTGCAAGTGCTCAACTATAGTACAGCAAATAACTAAATTCCATGGCCTTCTGAACTCAGGTGTAGGATTCCCAAATCCTGATTCCTAATATTCTTTTTCTGTCTAGCAAATAAATAGGTAAACTACTGGCAACATGTCATGTCTCCAACCACTGGCTGGCTCACAGAGGATAGCTGCCTCCTGCTGCTTTCATTTACTCCTTTAGCTCAAGGGGTAGAGGCCTGTGCCATGGATCTAAAGCTCCAGATCCCATTCCTGCTGGTGACCCGTACAGGGGGTCAGTATGCTTCCACCCGATGGAATTTCTATTTGTGTTTTTTAAACAGAAAAAGACTTTGTATACAATAACCCACGACATACATGGTTTCGTATCTGTGAAAGTCAAGTGCTAGAATTAACATTTGATGTACAGTCTTAATTCAGATCGACCGTATATTTTGTGGTGGTCCTTAATTGATGTGCAATAGGCCATTCATTTACAGGAATTTTACTGAGTGCACATTATAAACAAATACAGAATAATCTATTTGGATTTTGATCCACTATACCCACATCATGACTTGATATTGAGAAAGACTGTGGTATAACAGATGCACAAGGGGGACTTAACAGTTCCAGAAGAGTGCCTGTGCATTTTCTTAAAGATTATGTTCATGATTCTGCAACTTTTAGCACAGTGAGTTTAGTTCTTAAAATCCTGTTGGAACTAAATGCTTCACAAGATGTGGAGAACAGTCTCAAATTTGACTTCCTCAATTGAATACTACCAAACAAATTTTCAGTAAAATGAGATATTAGCTAGATGTTAAAATAATATTAGTGCTCTAGATTTTATTTATTGTATAATAAGCTATAAATTATGTTGAGACTGTGGAAGCTTTCATTGCAGTGGATTTTCTTCCTCTAAATAGTTGCAGACTTCTGAAAATAAAAAGTTGGAAGAGAATTGTAACACTAATCTGTATTTTTAGATGAAACCAGCATTTGGCTTTTAAGTAGAATCTTTTATTCAGGAATCTCAGAATACTAAGTAGCATTCATAATATCTCTGAAGTGGTAGGTATTCCCTTTGATTTTATTTTTTTTTAATAGTTCAAATTGCTAGGTGAAAGTAAAAACAAAAGCAACATTCACGGTCAAATCTAAAAGTTAAGAACAGGGTGAAAAGGTACATAATCCTTTAAGAGTTTGGATTGATTGTTTGGCAGCAAACTGACAATTTCAGACATTTTATTTTTCTGTTCTTCCTTTTTCAGACTGGAAAAAAGGCATTTTATGTTGGTGATCTTGGAAAGCTTGTAAGAAATAACATACAATGGCAGAACGTGATGGCACCAATAAAGCCATTTTATCCTGTAAGATGCAATTCTACTCCAGGTGTACTCGAAATTCTGGGAACCCTTGGCATTGGTTTTGCATGTTCCAGCAAAGTAAGTTTTTCTTACCTGTGTGCCTTATTTTCTTCCATGCGCCTGCAGTTTTCAAATCATCTTTTTGGTGTTAAGTGCCATGATTATAAATAATTCATGAATTCCTTTGTAACTGGCTGTTGAAAATCTATGCTTCTGCCCTAGAAGAGTGGATAGCTTTTTCTTTGTTTGACTGTTCAGTGGAGTAGTAGAGAACATCTAATAAAAATTCCTGAAAGATCATGCACTGGACTTTGTCAAACTCTGGTATCCTCCTGGTTTTTCAGTCTGAAATGGCATTGGTGCAGGACCTGGGCATTTCTCCTGAAAACATCATATATACAAATCCTTGCAAGCAAGCTTCTCAGCTCAAGTATGCAGCGAAGGCTGGGATAAACATCATGACTTGTGACAATGATATTGAGCTGAAGAAAATTTCACGTAACCATCCAAATGCCAAGTAAGTGTCAATTCTGGTTTTGCTTTTAACGTGGGGGAGACCTTATTTTGCCTGGATTCTGGGTTGTTTGGCAAACAAGTACATGGCTTCTTGATATAAATCACTTGTGTCTGGTTTTCTGCTCTTTGTCTCCTTTGAAGGTAGCTGCTTTGCAGCTTTCATTGTTGGGTCTCAACTTCCTCATATAATAGTAAGGCCCTTGGTTTGGGAGAAATCTTGGAGAAACTGATTTCATAGAGCAAATTTGATATAAAGATTTCGGTGAATAAAGTTCAGGAGCCTGGCGTTTCATCATCTGCAAGTACATCTTCCTCCTGCTCTGTTGTGGCTTCACTGTTTTCAGGAAGTTCTGTTTGGATATTAGTGGCTCTGACTGAAGTCAGGGCTGAGACCATCAGCAAATGACCATGTGCTCTGGATCCCATCTTGGGTTTGGGTACACTCTGCAAGTCTGTTAAATACACCTACAGGTATTTCTGCACCATTAAATCAGTGAGAAATTCAACTCCAGTTCTATTTTCAGTCACTTCAGTATTAGCTCAGCTCTTTCCTGTAGAGAAGTGATCAAAGCTGATATTCTAGTTGTTAAATATGAGAATTTTATTGCTGCCAATGTATCGTGGTCTCTTGGCCTGATAGGCACTCCAGTCATTAAACATCACATCCCTCACATATGAATACTTTGGCTGTGGGCCATACCTTTAAGTAATTTGGAGTCAGAGCCTAAGTGAATGTTACAGAGCTTTCCAGTGATTAACAGGGTATAGCTTCCCAAAAATATCTTTGGAGAAACTGAATTCCTGACATCCTTTACAAAGCCCTTGATTCTAAACAGTCATTATTAAAGTGTTGTGTCTTCTCTCAAAACTGAGACCACAGTTGTAGAATTGTGAAGATTCTACTAAATTCAGAATCTGAAGACTCTGGTCATCTCACCTAGTTGGTTTTTTTTGGCAGGGTTGGGGTGGGTTTTTTTGGGGGGAGGGTGTTTATTTGGGGGAGTTTTGGTTCTTGACGGCTACCCCAAGATTTAATATTGCTATTGCTGGTGATTGCACTTAATCCTCATGGAAGTCTGTCAGTGCTTTGCATACTGGAGAGGACTTCCTGTGCAAAGAGTGTTAAATGCACGATAAATATCTTTTTCTGTAAACTGCTGGCCTTGGTGTACTTAGTGTGTTTGAAAGCCTTGGCAAGGCTAAAGCCGACTCTTACGTTGTTAGTGCTTTACCAGTTATTCACCTGTGGGTTTAGTCTTTTGTTAGTTTTCATGGTGATTTATTTCCATGATTCTAACAGCTGACTTCAGACCGCCTTGCTTGTGGTAACATCCCCAGCAAGAGAAGTTAGGATACCTACTTTTCTTGAGCTGGGGAAACTGTGAAGTGGGGAGGCAGAATGGAGGAGTTTCATAAGCTACAGAAAAAAACAAACTCTTTACTTCTTTTCAAGGAGCCCATAGTCTAATACTTGCAAAAATTCCCGTTTAACAAGGACAAGAAGCTCAGTTTCTACAAAAGAACTGCAATTTGCTGTCATAAATTTCCTAGAGGTCTGATTTCTCACTGGACAGAAGTGTTTTTTTTTCCTCATTTGATTAGAATTATCTTATTTAGGTCATTCTAATGTTCATGCTGAAGTGACAGTGAGTTTCCTTCTTTCTCTTCCTTGGCACAGTTCAAAAAGTCAAAGCCACTGCATAACCTTGTTCTTCCTTGTGTGGTTCTTAGAGCTGGATTATGCTTGCATAGATGAAGCCAATATGCTTTGGCTGAGGAAACTGTATTTAGAAAGATGTGATTCTCCTTCTCATTTTCTTAAAATCCTGTGTAACTTTGCACTAAACTTGGTAATGGGTGGATCTCCTTTTATAGCTGATGTTTCTGCCTTTCGAAGTCTTAGTCACTGGAATGATTGCAATTTTTTTTTTTTTTTAAAGGAAGAAGAGATGTCAGGAGTGCTTAGTATTGCATTTCTTTGTACCTTTAGGTTTTTCCAGACAAAGTTTAACTGCTAAGGTTCTTGCTGTCTTAAGAGGCAAGATTGAGGAAAGAAAATGCTTTCTTAAAAATAAAAAAACCCAAACCCTAAACACATCACCCTATAGCCCTGCTCTGACTGGCTGAAACCCAGGAAGAAGAATCCTACTAGATTTCTAGAAGTCAGAATTACATTTTTTCAGTGGTTTGCACTGAAAAAGTACCTTGATTTAGTTTATAGTGCTACCATAACAATTAATCAATGAAATTTAACATTGGATGTCTTTAAGAAGGGGCTTTGACTAATCTTAATGTGAGGTTATGAACCACAGTATTACGGACTTGATTTCTTTTTTTTGACATATCAAGAAGTTAAACTCTTTAACTTGAAACCATTATTTTGCTACAGCTACACACTTTTCCAAATGCTTTACAAAATATTGACTGCAGTTTCCTGAACAGAATTGTCTGTGCTAGTGGAGAAGTAGGAAGTGAGAGGCTAGTCACAGTTTCCTAAGATGAAATAGTATAAATTAAAATCAAAAAGGATTGCTGGGCAACCAGTGTGAGAATCTAGGATTTTGTTGCTGTTTATGAAATGCAATTTTAATACCTCATAAGGCATTTGGAAAGGACTTGTAGAAGTCATGAGTAGCTGTTATGCCAACATGTGTTCTGCAGTGGCTAGGCTGAGTTCTGTTTGTTGCATGTCTTAAAAAGAGCTATTTCACTATGGCTGCAGAGCTTCTGCTGCTTGTTTGTGCTCCCCACCCTGTTAACTGCTCTGTGCAGTCTGTCATGTGTACTCATACGTTGTGACAACTTCACTTTACCGCATGAGTGACTTAACTGATCTTTTGGGGGTGACTGCCTTAGTGGACAGCAGTTTGAATTGGTGAGTTTTGGGGGTATACCTCTAGAGGGTTTGATGTGGACATGCTTTTGTCACTCAAGAGTTAATTTAACATAGAAAACTCAACACTGGCACTGCAGTTTGCCAGACATACCCAGGATGAGGCTTTCACCGGAGGGAGGAAGATGTGTCACTGCGTAAAAATGTAAGAGATGGTACTTGCTTCCTCTCTGCTCCACAGTGTCCTGGAAGAAGGGGCAGGGAATGGACTGATATCCCTATCCCATCCCCAGTCCATGTGCTCAGCCAGAAGAGGAGGTGGAGGGATATGGCTGGGGTTTGCTTTCAGTGTGTCAGCCTGGTGTTCTCCAGATGCTGAGTTAATCTGATACATGGCTGACCTAAGGGTAATCTCCACATTCTCCTCTTGGCTAGGAAGGAGGTCAGAGATGGGGAAAAAAATCATATTACAATCTTACTGGTTTTATGAGGAACTGTACTTTATTAGGAGGTAACATTCTCTTTTATTACAGCACTCAACAGACTCTTGCTGCTACAAGAGTCTTAGTTGCTGCATTTCGAAATCCCTTGTCCTTGTTGGCTCCATGTTTTAGCCCCTAATTGCTAGTTTTTTCTCTGTACAGGATTGTTTTTATTAGGTTTCCTTGATTCATCCATCGATGGAGCTGGAGTAATGACAACATATTCAACACACTTCTGACAGTCTTCAGGCTTCACATGTGCTGATGATGTAAACCAACTGCCCCAATCATCTTCCCCTTCTCTTAGGCTCTTACTGCACATTGCCACAGAAGACATTACTGCTGATGAGGAGATGAATATGAAGTTTGGCACCACCCTGAAGAACTGTAGGCACCTCATGGAATGTGCTAAGGAGCTGGGAGTCCAAATAGTTGGTGTCAAGTGAGTAACTTCTTTGTTCTCTGCTGGCTGAGCAGAATTTGTACAATGTACTCAAGATGTAGAATAGGAAATAATTTTTTCCCTCTTTGACGCTGTTTTCTAGGATTAAAAATAAAAAGCAACAAAACCCTCAAACAACAAACTAACTTTGAATCACGAGTTTTTGCTTGCAAGCAAAGTGCTAATATAAAAACAAAAACTAGTATTAAACAAAGTAACTTTTACAGACAGCAAAGCAATTTTAAATGGTGCATCAGAAATCCTGTGTCAGCATGAAAACTAAGTTTAGAAGCCTCTCCTGTTCTCTGATTGTACTCTTGAATTTCTGTGGTAACTTGATTTGTATTTTTCCAGCAATAAACAGCTTATCAGATAAAAGCTAGTATAGCATGGAATAGGTTAGACAGAATTTGAAAAAGATCAGCATGGGGTCAGATTTTCTTAGGGTTAGGGTCCTCTGTCACTCTGATCATATCAAGACAAAATACCTAAATTTTTGACTTGCTCATGGCAGGAATGTATCCTAGTCTGAGATCTTTCAAATGATCTGTGGTATTTTAATTGAAATTTTGACAGATATTTTACTGTATGGAAGAAAAATACATGCATTGTTCTGTCTGCCCTCAGCTTCTAATATGCCACATACTCATGAATGTTTTAGGAAAGCAACCAAACAGATAGGGTGGGTCATTGAGACAGTAAAAAAGAAATGTAAGCCAGATCTTGATGACTTAAACCACAACTGTTTTGATGCATATCTGTTTGAAATTGACGCTAAATTAAAGCATAAACATACTGTAATCATTACAAATGACAAATGTAAACTAAAATATTAGAGGATACTACTGAGAAAATGTGCTGCCTCTTATAATGTCTTAACCAACTTTAACAAAAATCATATGGCTCTTGTGTGTTACTTTTATTTAAATGAAATTTAAAAGGTACATGGGGATTCATGCAAATAAGTTTGAAAAGGGGACCTTTTCCTCAAAATGGCATTCCTTAGAGGAGTAGGCTTGGAGTAGAGAGCGTTGTGGTACAGATGGATTTGTGTCTGTCAGGAACCTGTTAGCCATGCTCCTCTTGAGGAAGCCCATGGGGCATGTTGGCACTAGTTTTAACACCTCAGTGACTAACTACTTATGGCAGTACTTAAACCTTTTGGGCGTGGAACCACAGGGGCTTCAGGAGCTTGGGGGAGGCATCAGGACTTCTCTGCAACATTGGCACCCACTGTGAAGAACAAGTTTTAGCCACTTGGATAGGGAAGACTGAAAAATTCAGTAAATGTTATTTCCTCAAGATGAGAATATTGTGGGAGATTCTTACACATTAAGAGTGAGACAGCTCTCACGTACAAATCCAGTGGAATAGAAGGCAATAGTTCCTGAGCTTACTCTTCCACAGTTGCTCTATTATCGTGCAAGCTTGTTTTGAGCCACTTGGGAATCAGTTGCTTCCATTGCTGTTTTACGTGGTGAAACAATTTGTTCAGAAAGCTACATGGTTCAGTGTATTGATTGTGGTTTTATTTCTTTCAGATTTCATGTTTCAGGCTCTTGCAAGGATCTGCAAACGTACATTCATGCTATATCTGATGCCCGGTGTGTGTTTGACATGGCTGTAAGTAGATCTATACGCACACACGCAATTGCTACAGTAGAAGATCCCTTCTAATCATATTAGCAAGCCAACTACATTGTTTCCAAAATCAATCCATAGTAGGACACGGATCTTGTAGTAAGGAACCAAATACTCCATTGTGAGATGTGGTAAAGGTAAAACAAATTTTATGTACTAATTGTGGACAAAGGTTAAGGAATACTTCCCACTGACAGGCAGTAGCCTTGTGTGCTATTTTCAAATTAAAAAAAAAAAAAAAAATTAGCTTCCCAGTTTTGGTAAAGGCTATTTGACATTCAAATCTGTCTTGCAAATATGTAGCTGACATTTTTGCTAGGCTAAAATATTGAACAATTGTATGCTGGCATTTGTTGTGGTATGAGAAGCTTGTAAACTAAACAGAGAAGCCTGTGAATCTTTTTGCTCCTATCGCTGCAGTCAGTGCATTAGCTGTGACTGGTAATGCACAGATGGGGGCAATAAAATTGAGGATCTTGCTGATCTTTGTGCAAATTCAGTGTAGTAGTCTTGTCACGCAATTTGTGAATTCCTACAACTGTCTGTTGTCAGAATACACCACCCTGTTCAGCCAATGCTGTCTGAATATAACAAAAGCTACAAGATGGGAGTTGATGTTGCTGTGGTATTTGCAGAGAATTGTGTAACCAGCCACTCTTGACATCCCAGTGCTGTTGCTATGAGGTTTAATGGAGCTGTACTATGTCCTTACTCCCTCACTAGACATACTCTGCTAAATACATTCAAAAGTATAAATACATAGAAAACAACCAGAGTAAGGAACAACAAATATTTTTGCAGTTAGTTGTTAATCACAGTTGTTCATGTACTTACATTCTGCTTATGCATTTTAGGAAGAATTTGGCTTTAAGATGAACATGTTGGATATTGGTGGGGGCTTCACAGGCTCAGAACTTCAGCTGGAAGAGGTACGCAGTGTTTTGGAAGTTTAAACTCTTAATTTTGAAGTGTTTACCTTCAAACTGCAACTAACATTGATAGCTGAAACTTAGTCTAAATTCCATGTTAGACTCTCATTCATAAGATCCCGATAGTTGGGTTTGTATTCTTTATCATGGATAGTGTAATCAGTCCTTCGAGGTGATTCTTTCTTTTAGTCCTGTTCACACTGGATTAATGCTGATTTAAGCATGTTACAGAATAAGTTACTATCCAAAGCAACCTTAGCAGTAGTAATTCAAGTTTTTTGGCAGCTGACTGTTGTGTTGCATGGTTTGGACCAGGGTAGCTTAGGATGCTTTGGATCATAAACCCTGTTTCTACTGCATGAACACATCTGGTATTTTGCTTTAGAACTGAAGGCTAAAGGTTTTGGTTTTGCCTTTGCTTTGGCTAGCCTCTGATTTGGCCTAAATGCCATCTTTAGTATGCAGTGCCACATAAAACAGGATAACCTCTTTCCACTGTTATGTTGTCTTAGAGACACTCCTTGAAGGCGGGACAGCAGAAGCGATGCAGTGAGAAGTTACTAACAGCAAACAGGGCTTTTCTTTCTTAGTTTTCACAGTTCTGTTGCTTGTCTAAAGTACCTGCTATTTTCCAGTATCTGGCTTAAAATATGAGCATCAGTATTAGATAATGAATTCTGTTTCTAATGTGACACTATTTGGAACTGATCACTGAAAGACCCTTTCCTTATTGTTGTGGGTTCATATGTAATTTTACATTGTCTCTTGTGCTGGACAGACATTGAAATTACAGCTGCAGTTTTGAGTGTACCACAGCTTGACCTTTGGTGGGGAGGAGGGACTGTCGTACTCAGACTCTCTCAGTCTTCAGTGTTTAGCAGAATGGCCAGTTTTCTTAAATCTTTTTTGTAAATTGTGGACCTCCAGTAAAGGCACTTTACTGAGGACCAGAGAAAGTATTGGGTGTGCTGACTGGAGCTGTTGCTGACTGAAAGTGGTTGTGTATCTGATATAACCATAAGCTGAGTTTGTTGGTCTTACCTCTGACTTCAATTTTCTAGGTTAATCATGTCATCAGGCCATTGCTGGATGTCTACTTTCCTAAGGAATCTGGTGTTAATGTGATTGCAGAGCCTGGATGTTACTATGTTTCATCTGCATTTACCCTGGCAGTGAACATCATTGCAAAGAAGACTGTTGAGTATGATAAACTTCTTCCCTCTGGAGGTAAAGGTTGGATTTATATTTTCTGCTATGAATCAGTACATGGAACTGCCCACTATGACTTGGGATAGACTAGTTTGTCTCAGCGTATATTTAATGCATTCCCTTCCGCCCTCCAGGTTCTGACCATATGTTATCTGTGTATCTCACTGTTCCTTTTATGTGGTGGTTCTTGTATTCTTACTGGTTTTGGCTTCTCAGTGGTTAAACCTCTGTTGGGTGCTTCCCAGGTGGTGTGTTGGAGGAACATAAAACCCCTGTCACCGAGCAAGCTGCTTCTCTGGGCTTGTATTCTTAGCAGTGATTGTTACTGAAAGTATTAATTTTGTTAAGCCTCACATTTAAAGTTATAACTGAATTTATAATCTGGTCTCATACAGATTATTATACGTGTAATTCTCCCGTTCTAGTGTATATGGAACCCCTTGTCAGGAGAAAGCAGCTGACTTAAGTTAGATTGCAAAAGGACTACTTATGACAAAACATGCATGCAAGACAACTTCTTTTTTTACTTCCAGTGGAGCAAACCAGGAATGATGATGAACCAGTATTTACATATTACATAAATGATGGTGTTTATGGTTCTTTTGCGAGTAAATTGTCTGAGAAACTGAATACTATCCCAGAGGTTCACAAGGTGAGTCTTTTCATATCCTTCAGAGATAGTCCTTGTCTTTGTCTAATTAATATATATGTAATACTTTATACATATATAATTACATATTACTTGTTAAATTATCCTTCTGTATATTTGAAGATTTTCTTATTTAATAAACTGAAGCCTGAATTGCCTTGATCACTTCTATACAGAAATACAAGGACGATGAGCCTCTCTTTGCAAGCAGCCTTTGGGGTCCATCCTGTGATGAGCTTGATCAAATTGTGGAAAACTGTCTTCTTCCTGAGTTGAGCGTTGGAGATTGGCTGATCTTTGATAATATGGGTTCTGGTACCTTAGGTGAACAGTCTACCTTTAACGACTATCAGAGGCCACTGATTTACTACATGATGTCTTTCAGTGACTGGTAAGAAAACTGTCTCGGTAGTGTCAGGATTGCTTTTGCTTCCTTCAGGAGTCTGTACTTACAGGCAAATGTAAATTATATTTAATGGCAAATATAGGAAAATGCAAGAGTGTGCCTTTTTTAGTTTGTGGATTTTTTTTTTGTCTCTGTTTTCTGACTTTCCTAAGACCAAACTGAGAGCTGTGATAAAACCTACTTTGCTTTAAGGATGAAAAAGGAAAACAAAGTACATAATCTCACCTGTGAGTTCAGTGGTAGCTGTAAAACCTTTCCTGTTGCCATCAACCTTTGAGCCTTCCTAGCACCAGTAACTGCAGCTTGTGTATGATATTGATTGGCATGGCCGCTGCAGGCAGGAAGGGCAGTAATGCTGCTGTGGTGATGGTGAGTTTAGTACGCTGTTCCTGTGCTGAGGTAGACAGGGCACTGGGCTGTGCCCATGAGGGTGGGGATGTTCCTGTGTCCTCCAAGCACTGGCACAGCTGGTCTCCCTCCTGCCAAGGCTGGGGCCAAGCCATGCAGGGGCACTTGGCTTCAGGTGCTGTATTGAGGCTGGTTTCTGATGTGAAGTTGTACCTGAAAATGTTATTACAACTCTCAACCTTTTCTGCTGCAGGGATGAGATGCAAGATGCTGGAATTGCTTCAGACACATTGATGAAGAACTTCTTCTTTGTGCCTTCTTGCATTCAGCTGAGCCCAGAAGACCGCTTTTCCACTGCAGCTTAAACAGGCATTAACGCTTCATTTAGACCTGCAGTTGCAAGTCTGTAGTTTGTCTGGTCAACATTCCAGTGTGGAAGAAATGGAACAATCTTGAATTCAACTCATTCTCTTCAAAACTTGAAAAAATAGTGATAGCTAATGGGGACCAGGCAAAACAAGCTACAGCTACAATTCAGTGGGGGGTGGGAGGGTTAGATAATGGTGTCCAAATTTAAAATCAAGTTCATTCAACCCCTGAGCGTTAAATATGCAACAAAATGGATGACTTAGTGGAGATGGAAACCCATCACTTGGGTTCTTCAACAGTTTACATACAAGTACACAGTTTTTATACTAAGGATTCCTGTTAGAAAAGTCTTGTAAAGTTATTGTCTTTCGCCCAGATATATCAAATGTCAGTGGGAGACCAGTGTGACTTCATTAGATGTTTTAGTGTATTTAGAATGTGTAAATTTGTGCTTTGAACTGTAGTTTAATAAATGTAAAATTGCATCATAGTGTTTGTTGTATTTGACCCTTGATGTATCCCCTGTATGATTGCAATAAAACTTTGTGTAGATTTTACTGTTTTTCAGGCTAACTTTGGGAGGGACTAGGCAGGTAGCTATAAAATAGATGTATACGTGATTGCTTTGAGAAGCCTTCTTTTCTCTAGGTTCAACTTTGTGTTAAACAGTAAAAATTTTGAGATTGATAAATCCGTATGAGGTGAAAGTCATGTAAGTTGCTGGAAGGCTAATTTAAATGCAGTTTGTGGTGTTTTTAGAGCATGACCTTAGATTCAGTTCTTAACACCAAACAGCAAACCTGCACTAGGCATGGGTGTGCACAGAAGAGGTTTAGTCTCTTAGCTTGTGTGCATGCAGTGCCCTGAGTCAGCATGGGCTAGCCCAACTCTGCACGTTGTCACAGAACCTTTGGCTCCTTTTTTTAATGGTGTTTATTTGAAAAATCTTACCTTTCAACTTCAGCTACTTCTGTGTAGTGCTGACTCCGAAGGGAATGGCTGCACAAGTCTTCAGAAACCTCAATGCTTTTTGCACTGGATTTCATTTAGATATATCCACGATGTAAAGGTGGAGCAGACTGCTGCAAGTACATGTGCCAACTGCATCGAGTGATGAACTGGTCATAATTTCTGTACTGTGGTACTGGAGCCTCTTGATTTCTTCAAGGTCTTTACTTTCTTATTTTAACTTTCCCTTATTGAAAACTGGGTGAAAGAGGAGAAGAGTTGTCAGAAACGATGCACTGAGGTCTGGATCCTGCAGTCAGACATTTTAAAACCCTTTAGTTGGAGGAAAGATTTTTGCCCTTGGGTTGCAAGTGTATTTTACACAAGTGCCAGCTGATAGGAAGTTTTAACTTCTGTTAAAAAGATTTTTATAAAACTTGATGAACTTGTTACTTGAAAGTAAAGAAAATTCTCAATTTGGACTTCTGAGAACAGTTTTATGGGCCACCTAAGATGTACAAAATAGCTTATGTTTTTGAAGATGCAGTCTAAGAAATATTTATTACTGTAATTAAATGTGGGAGTAGGAAAGGGAGTAAATAACAATAGTGGGAAACCTATGTTTTGGGTTGGTTTTCTGTTTGTTTTTAATCTGAGGTTTCTAACTGTCCCTGTGTGTCAAGAAGTGGTATGGGCTGCAGTCTACCTGTTGAGGTTTCTCTCGACATAAGGCAGACTGCTGCATGGTTTTCAACTAAATACAACTTAGTTGCCTAAGATGAGAACTCTACAGGATTCTGTCATGCAGTCTTAAGGAGAGTTATTTTATGTTAACTTACAGATCAGTTGAAAAAAGTGTCTCTGAATGATGTGGTGGTCAGAGCAGAAATACTCGCTGTACTTGAAGACAGTCTGCCATTAAAGCCAACCTGGAGTCTGAACACAGTATGTATTTCAGTTTGATTTGCTCAGTGCTACTGTTCATATTGTAACTGCAGTTCGGAATTTATACCAAACATGAAAGCTGGATGATTTCTATGTAGTACTTGGAAGTAAAGTAGCTCTGTTGTGCTCCCTAGACAGCTGCAGCCCCTCCTGTGTGCCGTGGCTGGTTGTGCATGGCAAACAGCCCCCATCCAGCTGCTTTGCCCTGAAAGCTTCCCTGAGACAACCCTTCAGCCTGTGTTCTGTTTCCCAAGGAACATCCAAGGATGGCCTCAGACTGGTGGCACTGCTGGTGCCAGTTACTTCCTCAGGAATGGGAAAATGGTTCCAGCTTTTTGTTGTGCCTGAGCAGCTTCACAGCTGGCTTGCATTTGGATCAGAATAAAAGTGGGTGCCCTGGATCCACCACTGGCTGTGTTGCCACTTCCTATGTACTCTTCATTCTGCTTTGTTTTTTTGTCATTGTTGTTGGGGGTTTTTTTTAGGTGGGGTGGAGATGTCTGTTAGTATGTTTTAGGTTTGAAGCCTGCCTTTTTTTTAAAAAAAAAAAAAAACTCAAAACTTACCTTGTGAGGAAAAAGCAACAACCTTTTAATCCTTGATAGCTGGGTAACTACCCTAGCTCTGGTCCAGCTGATCTGGCTGACCAGGGACTATACCTTGACTATACCTCCTCTTCTGTGAGGTGAATGCTCTTGGGGCTTTGCCAAGAGCTTTGGACAACAGCTGGAAAGCAAATGCAGTCCCAAGGAGCAGCCTGGATGCCACGCAAGGGTGGCAGGGGCTGCCCAAAGGAAGGGGGCTGTGGTGCTCTACCCACCATGGGTACTGGCTGCCAGGAGCAGAAACAGGATCTGTGCCAAAGATAGTTTACCTGGCCTGATCATAAATGAAGGAAAAAACTGTTTCTGTGACTGCAATGTGTGCTGCAGAAAGGTATTAGACATCACACATTTAATTTTTCCTTGTGCTGGAAGCACTGCACTGACTGCAGGCTTCTAGCTTTTCTGAGCTCTTATTTCCTCCCTTTATCAAACTTTCAAGGCTTTCAAGTGGCGTGTAATTCACTACAACAGTTTACTACTATTTATGGATTATCACGCAACATGAGTGTTGTGTGCATCAAGTACTTGCCCTGAGGTTTAGGGAAAAGCAGGATCCATTACTGGCAGCAGCCCCTGCCCCCCAGGATGTGCTGCTGAGGGGAGTGGAGCAGGCTGTGGCACTGGGGCTGCCCAGGGAAAGCAGGTGCTGCTGTGCAGGGCTGGGAATGGTGGGGACCTACCCTCTTCCAGGGCCTGTTATGCTTGGAGTAACAAGCCTTCTCTCACTTAACATTTTTCAGCTTTTTGCAGCTGCGGTGTCTTTGAGCTGAATTAGGGGCATTAATAGGATTACCCTGTTGGCTTTATAGGGCAAAGCCAGCCTGAACTGGGATGTGGTGGCAGCAGCTGGTCCCCACCCCCTTCAATCTGATCTGCTGCTTCCTCTTAAGTTCAGTTGAATAATAATTTTAATGTTCTCTGAAACGCTGCAGTGGGCGGTAGTGCAGACCACACTGTGGTGGTGTGTATCATGTAGTAACACGTGTCCTACTGTACAATGTCAAGTAGGGCAGCTTCTTGGTATCAGTCAAAAATGGGAGGGAAAACTATGTCAGGCTCAAGATTTACTGAGTTATCTGCATGATTTTAGATCCTGATTGTAGTATTTTGCTCAACTGCACCTCTCAAATGGCAATCCCTGCTGTGGAAGTGGGAGCTGTGCAGTGCAGGTCACTCGTCCCTCGCTCGCTGCAGCCCCTTCGGGGAATGCAGAGGCTGCAGAGGGCTGGGCCGGGCCGGGCAGCAGCGTTTTGTGTGAGCAGAAGTGGGCTCCAGCACGGTGGTCTGACACCCTCCTCCCAGTAATTCCCCATTGGAACAACAGGAATAGGAATACGGAGTGAGCCCCCCCGCGCGTATTGCTGCTTGCAAGCAGCGAAGGCGCCTCGGCCCCGCTTCCTCAGGCGGCGCTGGAGCTCTGGCAGCGCCGGGCGGTCCCGCGGCCAGCAGGGAGCTCCAGCGCCCGCCCGGGGCCGCAGCGGCGGGGGCGGAGGGGGAGCCCTGCCCCGCTCTCCGCTCCCCGTCCCGGCCGCTCCCGAGTCACGGCCCCAGGGGACACGGCCCGACCCGCCACGTCACCGCCTAACGCGCTCCTCGGATGCCCCTGGAGATGCAGACGGGGGAAGCCGTCTGGATGCGTTAGGCAGTGCCAGGGGCTGCCCAGACAGGCTGTCGGGATTTTTTCCCGCAGGCTTTTCCAGTCCCGACGGGATGAAGACCTGGGCAGCCCGGTCTGACCTAATGGCTGAACCTGCCCGGAGTCAGTGGCTGGACCGGAGGCCTCCCGGGGCCCCTTTCCCACAGAATTATCCTGTGATCCTGTGACACCAGATCACAAACCCTCCTTCCAGTTTGAGCTGTGCCACCACCCTGGCTGAGTGCTGCTGGTGCTCTGTTGGCAGGTGACATGAGCAGGACTGCCTGGAAAAGCCGTTCCTCTTTGAGCTGTCTGGGGATTCTAAACCTTCCTGTTCCACATGGGAATGGGGACTGACCTACCCATTCTAGAGGGCAGAGGTGGGAGACAGACTCAGGAAAATAGGACCAGGGGACTCGATCTCCCCCCACTCACATGAACATTCCCATTAAAAGTTTCAATTTCAACAAATTACTAGTATTTGCCGACAACAAACGCCTCAACAGCAAGTTCCCAGCCAGCTCTCAGTCCCAAAGTGCATGTCCCTGGGACACCGGCACTGACGGGAAGGCTGAGGAGCCACCTCTTTGTCCAGCTGTGCCTGACCCCGAGGCGCTCGCTCCAGCCCGCTCCACGCCGCAGTCCCTGGTCCGAGGTGAGCTGCCCTGGCACGGTCTCAAGGCCGGTGCTCAAGGCCTGTGCCGTCAGCAGGGCTGGTGACACGCTTCATGATATTCCTGCAGGACCGGGATTGGCCCCGCCAGCCACCGCACCCAACATTCCTGCCGCTACCTCCCCTCCACGGGCTGCACCGAGAGGAGTGACTGCAGCTGGGGGACGGGGGACAAGACGGACAGACCGCCCTCAGCGCCCGCATAGCTGGGGACTGGAAGGTGTCAGAGCGGCGGCGGCTGCCACGCTGACTGAGGGCTGGGCACCCCCTGCGCTCCCGGGTTCAGGTCTCCTCTCTCCCCGCGGAGCCGCCACCCCAGCCCTGCCCGCGTGGCAGGCGCGGTGCCTGCGGGGCCGGGCGGCCCTCCCGCCGCAGAGCCAGCGGCAGCTGAGCTTCACCTCCCTTAACCCCGCCAGCCGAAATCAGTGCCGCTGAAATTTTCCACTTGAGACGCACGCAAGACCAGAATAGATTTCCAGGGTATTCTTTTTTCCCCCGCTAGCTAGAGGAAGACCAGCTTTGCAATGTTTACTCTTAAAACACCTTCCAGATGGCTTTAGGGAGTCCCCACTACATAGACAGCCCCACAGGGAGAGCCCCTCAGGCTCCAGAGTGTCAGGCCACTGTTGCCCTGGCAGTCTCAGCTCTTCATCCCTTGGGACCATCGAGCCAAGTCCTATGGAGACACAATGAATTTTTCCACAGTGCTGCCACAGTGGCTGTGGGGGCCCTGTGGGATCCTGAAAGGGG